TTTTTGTGGCCCCATTTTTTTTTTTTTTTTTAGCTTTCTTCTTTATTTTAAAATTCATTGTCGTTTATACTCGTTCACATCTGTTCGATTGCTCCAAACAATGAGATTTCTTCAACAATGATATCGTAAATCATAAAATTAGTGTCTGGATTAGGAATACTCATTCTATTGTTTAACACCCCCCCTCGATATATATTTATGCATCGTTACACACATCTTTCTTGATCTGATCGTTTATTAACCCTAGTTTTTTTAATTGTTGACTGATAGATTTTATACATTTAATTGATTACTGTACTTGTAGAATGGAATATTTAGGAAAGCAACTAAATGTCAAATAAGTAAGTCAAATACCATATCGATTACAGTTGTATCAGCAGAAATAAGTTTCACCAACTTGAAATTAATCAAGATTTATCTCCGACCAACTTTGTCACAGCAAATATTGAATGGATTGACCATGTTATCTTCAATGGTTGAATATCTCGACTATATAAAATTGATTAATATTTTTTTTCTCTAAGACCACAAAACATATATATATATATATATATTTCATTTTATTATTTTATTGTTGATTTTATGTAAACAAACTTAATTCCATGAAACTCTCATAGATGGAAAAAAAATTGATTACTTGCCACGATTTAGAAGTCTAAATTCTGAAATTCTCCTCATGTCCCGCGAAACGCAGGTATGGCCCTAAATGAAGCATTAGTCTTGTTCGATGTGGCCTCATCAATTTTTAAGTAGATTGCAACAGATATCTAGACCAGTCGATCGTGCTGGAATTGAATGAAAATAACACTTTTCCAATGGGGTTGAAGCCGTTGTCCCCACTGGTTTTTGGATTAATCGTTTCATTTGGGCGATCAAATTAACACTTTTACGTTCTAATGGAAATTAATTTTTATCCGCGGTTTTGTCAATCAATAACCAATTATCGACGTATTTTCACAAATCAATAGATCTTAATCGTCAAGTATCCAGTTTCTAATAAAAATTCAATGAATGTTTGATTGTGTTATTCATTATCGATAAATTCTCGCTTCT